TGATGACAGTGATGGTGATGTTGATGATGGTGATGGTGATGGTGGTGATGGCGATGGTGATGGTGGTGATGGTGATGACGGTGATGGTGATGGTGATGGTGATGGTGATGGGGGGGTGTCCGTGCGCTGCAGAACGGGGATGCGGAGAACCCGGCGTGCCGCGGCATCGAGGGCGTGCTGGAGGCCTATCACCGGAGCCTGCGCCGCGTCCAGCTCTATGGGCCCACCAACTTCGCCCCCGTCGTCAACCACGTGGCGCGGTACGGGGTGAGGGTGTGGGGGATGGGATATGGGATATCGGATATTAGATATGGGGTATAGGGTATAGGATATCAGATACAGGATATGGGGTGTGGGGTATCTGATATTAGATATGGGGGATGGGATGTATCCCTATATAGGATATAGGATACGGGATATGGGGTATGGGATATGGGGTGTGGGATATAGGATATGAGGTATGGGATATAGGATACAGGATATTGAGTGTGGAGTATGGGGTGTGGGATATGGGATACAGGATATGGGGTATGGGATATAGGATATGGGGTGTGGGGTATGGGATATGGGGTATGGGATATAGGATATGGGGTGTGGGGTATGGGATGTGGGACATGAGGTATGGGGTGTGAAGTATGTGGTACAGGATATGGGGTACGGGATGTGGGACATGGGATATGGGGTGTGGGGTATGGGGTATGGGATATGGGTGTGGGGTGTGGGTAGGATATGGATATGGGATATGGGGTATGGGATATAGGATACAGGATATGGAGTGTGGAGTATGGGGTGTGGGATATGGGATACAGCATATGGGGTATGGGATATAGGATATGGGGTGTGGGGTATGGGATATGGGGTATGGGATGTGGGACATGGGATATAGGATACGGGATATGGGGTATGGGATATAGGATACAGGATATGAGGAGTATGGGGTGTGGGATATGGGATACAGCATATGGGGTATGGGATATAGGATATGGGGTGTGGGGTATGGGGTATGGGATATGGGGTATGGGATGTGGGGTATGGGATATAGGATATGGGATATGGGTGTGGGATATGGGGTATGCGGTATGCAGTATGGGATATGGGGTATGTGGTTTGGGATATGGGGCATGGGGTATGGGATATGGGGTGTGGGCTATAGTATTTGGATATGGGATACAGGCTATGGGATGTGGGGTATAGGGTGTGGGATATGGGGTAAGGGACATGGGCTATGGGCTATGGGGTGTGGGTACAGGATAGGGGCTATGGGTGCTGTGCCCACCCCGGTCCCTCCCTGCCCCCTGACCGGTCGCTCCCAGTGCGGCGGCCGCGGTGCTCGATGGCTCCCAGTACTTCGTGCTCCTCATCATCACCGACGGCGTCATCTCGGACATGGCGCAGACCAAGGAGGCCATCGTCAACGTGAGGGGCTCGGGGTGCCCCCGGGGGGGGGCCCATTGAGATCCCAAGGGAAGGACACCCAGGACTGGGGTGGTCGTGGGATGTCCATTATGGGCCAGGGCATGGAGTACCCATTGTGGCTGAAGTGTCGGGTGGCCGTCATGATACCGGGATGCTGATCATGGTCCTGGGATGCCCTTCATGATCCCGGGATGCTCATCGTTATTCTGGGATGCTCATCATTATCCTGGGATGCTCATCATGATCCCAGGATGCTCATCATGGTCCCGGGATGCTCATCATGATCCTGGGATGCTCATCATTATCCTGGGATGCCCATCATGGTCCTGGGATACCCATCACTGTCCTGGGATGCTCATCATCATCCCGGGATGCTCATTATGATCCTGGGATGCCCATCATGGTTCTGGGACGTTCATCATGATCCCGGGACGTCCATCATGATCCTGGGATGCTCATCATTATCCTGGGATGCCCGTCATGATCCTGGGATACCCATCATTGTCCTGGGATGCCCATCATGGTTCTGGTATGTTCATCATGATCCCAGGATTCTCATCATGATCCTGGGATGCCCATCATGATCCTGGGATACCCATCATTATCCTGGGATGCTCAACACCACAACCCAACCATCATTATCCTGGGATGCCCATCATTATCCTGGGATGCCCATCACTGTCCTGGGATGCTCATTGTTATCCTGGGATGCTCATCATGATCCCAGGATGCCCATCATGGTCCTGGGATGCCCGTCATAATCCTATGATGCCCATCGTCATCCCAGGATGCCCATCATGATCCCAGGCACAGGAATCCCACCATGCCCAAGCCATGGGGCTCCAACCCCCCTCCCCCCGGGGCTGATGAAGCCAATGCTGCTCTGCAAGGGGGGGGGGGGGGTCCCCACACCCCATGGATGGGTGCTGCAGGTGGGGGGGGCCCTGAGCTCAGTGTGGGTCCCCCCCCAGGCCGCCGCGCTCCCCATGTCCATCATCATCGTGGGGGTCGGCCAGGCCGAGTTCGATGGTGAGTTGGGGGGGGCAGCACGGCCCATGGGGGGTTATGGGGGGGTTCATGGGGTCCCACCTGGGTGACCCCCCCCCCATCACAGCCATGGTGGAGCTGGATGGGGACGACATCCGCGTGTCCTCCCGAGGGAGGGTGGCTGAGAGGGACATCGTGCAGGTACCGCCCCCCCCACTGCCCCACATCAGCCCCATTGAGAGCGGGGTGATGGGGGGGACACGGCACGGGGGGACAGGGGGATAACAGGATATAATGGGGTATGGGGGGCACTGGGACATGGGGGGGAATGCTAAGGGGGGGTTCACTGAGACATGGGGAGCACTCAATGGGGGGGCACTCAGTGGGGAGCATCCATGGGGGGCACTCAATGGGGGGGCACTCAATGGGGGGGACATTCAATGGGGGGCACTCAATGGGGAGCATCCATGGGGGGGCACTCAATGGGGGAGCACTCAATGGAGGGCACTCAATGGGGGGGACACTCAATGGGGGGCGCACTCAATGGAGGGCACTCAATGGGGGGCAGTCAATGGGGAGCATCCATGGGGGGGCATTCAGTGGAGGGCACTCAATCACCACACCACACCAACACACACAAACACCACACACACCGGGGGGACACTCAATGGGGAGCATCCATGGGGGGCACTCAGTGGGGGGGGGCACCCCATGTGGTGGGGGCGGGGTCTCTCCCTGTCCCTTGGCTCCCCCCCCCCCCCCAGTTTGTGCCGTTCCGGGATCACGTGGCCGCGGGGGGGGGCGCTGTGCGCTCCATGGCGCGCCTGGCGCGGGCGGTGCTGGCCGAGGTCCCCCCCCAGCTCCTCTCCTACATGAAGGCCAAAGGGATCAGCCCCGGGCCCGCGCCCCCCCCGCAATGACCCCCCCCTCCCCTCCCCCCACCTCCCTCCCTCCCCTCCGCCCCCCATTTAAATCCATCCCCATGGATAAAGCACCAGGATCCTGCCCCTCCCCCCCAACCCCATCCCCATCAAACACCTTTGGTTATGGGGGGCCCACGCTGGCCCTGTGCCATGGGGGTACCCTGCCCCCCCCCAATAAAGGGGAAGGGGTCCCCAGTTACCCCCCACCCACACCACCCCATAGAGCACAGGAACAGGGACCCCCCAAGTGTGGGGTCCCCTCTGGTGACATCCAGAGCATCCCTGGGGGTGACAGACGGAGCCCCCCCCCCCCAGTCCTATAGACACCCCCAAACCCTATATACAACCGCCCAGCCCCATAGACACCCCCAGCCCCATGGACACCCCCAAACCCCGTAGACACTCAGGCCCCTATGGATACCCCCAAACCCCATAGCCATCCCCAGCCCCATAGACAGCCCCCAGCCCCGTGGACACCTCCAAACCCCATATACAACCACCCAGCCCCATAGGCACCCCCAGCCCCATAATCACCCACAAACTCCATGGACCCCCTCACCCCCATAGACACCCCCATACACAGCCCCCAGCCCCATGGACACCTCCAAACCCCATATACAACCACCCAGCCCCATAGTCAACCCCAGCCCCATAAACACCCACAAACTCCATAGAAACCCCCCCAGCCCCATAGACACCCCCCCAGCCCCATAGACCCCCCCCAGCCCCATAGCCATCCCCTTACACCGGGGGGGGTTCCCCTTCTCTGTGTGTCCCCCCCCGTGTTTGTGTCTGTATTGAGTTGCCTTATACTGGAATAAAGGAACAGTGTTTTTAATGCCTGCCCCCCCCATGGGCCCTGCATGGGGGTGCCCCCCCCGAACCCCCCCCACAGCACAGGGCAGGGCCCAGGCTCTGCTTTGCTTTCCATTACCCCAAATATACAGACACAGCCCCATGGGTCCAGCGTCACCTGGGGGGGGGGGGTCCATGTGTGTCCCCCCACACTTGGGGGTCACACAGGGCTCTATGGCTTTGACTTAGGGCTCCCAGCCCCGTGTTGAAGCACATGCAAAAGATGCCCCCCCCCCCCAATCCCACCAGCACTTGGGGGGGGGGGGGAGTCTATATCGTGACACCCAGCCCTATCGCGATAGCTATGGGGCAGAGCTGAGCCCCCATTGCCCAATATGGGGAAGGGGGACATACCCCCCCCCCCACCAGAGGCTGGGAGGTGGGGGGGGGGGCGTTGTGGGGTGACCCCCCCCAATAAAGGATGGATCCAGTGTAAGGAGCCCCCCCCCAGCCAGGATCGAGCCCCCCAAAACCCCCCCCTGCTTCAAGCTTCAATTCCTTATTGCTGCATCTCCCTTGGCCACGGCAAGCTTGGCGGGGGGGGGGGCCCTAAACCGTGACCACCCCCCCCCCACCATGGGGACCTGCACCCCAAAGCTGGGGGCACCCCATGGCAGTATTGCTTTGGGAAAGGGGGGGGGAAACGACCCCCCCCAGGCAATGGGGACACCCCAAAGCTTGTCCCCAGCCCCCCCCCAAATCTTGGGGACACTGGGGGGGGCAGTTCCTATGACATCAAATAGCCCAGATAAGGGGATAATAAAGAGCATCCCCCCCCACCCCAGGATGGAGCTCAGTTACAGCCCCCCCCCCAGGAATGGGGGGGCAGGTCCTGCCTTTGCAGCATCCCTGTGTCCTCAGCATCAGCGCCGCTATTCCAAGAGATCCTGGAAGGGGGGGGAATGGATCTGTCACCCATTGGGGTGCCCCCCCTACAGAGGGACCCCCCCCATAGAGCCCTATGGTGTGTGGGGGGGGGGGGGATATGGATCTGTCACCCATTGGGGTGCCCCCCCCAGAGAGGACCCCCCCATAGATCCCTATGGAGTGGAGGGGGGTGGATATGCATCCATCACCCATTGGGGTGCACCCCCTAGAGCAGGACCCCCCATAGAGCCCTATGGAGTGTGTATGGGGGGGGGATATAGATCCATCACCCACTGGGGTACCCCCCCCCTAGAGAGGACCCCCCCATAGATCCCTATGGAGTGGAGGGGGGTGGATATGGATCCATCACCCATTGGGGTGCACCCCCTAGAGCAGGACCCCCCCCCATAGAGGCCAATGGAGTGGGGGGGGAATATAGATCCATCACCCATTGGGGTGCCCCCCCCCCAGAGCAGGACCCCCCATAGAGCCCTATGGAGTGGAGGGGGGTGGATATGCACCCATCACCCATTGGTGTACCCCCCCCAGAGCAGGACCCCCCCATAGATCCCTATGGAGTGTGTATGGGGGGGGGATATAGATCCATCACCCATTGGGGTGCCCCCTCCTAGAGCAGGACCCCCCCATAGATCCCTATGGAGTGGAGGGGGGTGGATATGCACCCATCACCCATTGGTGTACCCCCCCCAGAGCAGGACCCCCCCATAGATCCCTATGGAGTGTGTATGGGGGGGGGTCTCACCTCATCGGAGTCATCGTGGTACCCAGGTTTGGCAGGCGGGGGGGGGCCCAGCGCATCGATGGTCTCTGCATCATTGGCCTCTGCATGCTGCTGCAGCACCGAGTAACGCTGCACCAGGAACCTGGAGGTTGCGTGTAGGGGGGGTGAAGGCAGCAGCCCCCCAACCATGGTGGGGAGCCATTGTTTGGGGGGGGGGTCCCTCACCTGCCCCCACACACGTATTTCTTGACCAGAATCACGGTGATGGCCGCGGTGAGCAGCAGCGCGGTGCCCACAGCCAGGACAGCAGCAGTGGGGCTGCGGGGGGCGGCCTGTGCGAATGGAGGGGCACCGTGACCCCCAATGCACCCCCATTGGGGACAGGAGGTGGTCCCCGTGCCCGCGGTGTCACCCATGGGTGCCACCGGCATCAGCACCCACCAGCGGGCTGGGGCTCAGCAGGTTGCTGGTGCATTTCTTCTTCATGTCCGTCTCCTCCCGCGCCGGGCTCTCCCCTCCGGAGCATTTATCCCCAGGGATCTTCCGGTACCTGAGGGTGAAGGAAGCGCTCGGTGATCCCAAAGAAGCTTCCCAAGGGATGCTCATCCCCAAGGGGGTGAAGGGATGGAGCCAGGTCCGGCCCCGCTAAGGGCAGGATGCGGCCGTGTGGTACCCGCTGGTCCTGAGCAGCTCCCGGCGGCCGTAGAGGCAGAATTCCAGGTCGTGGCCCTTCAGCTCCGGCTGCTCCACGCACTCGGATTGGTTCTCAGGGCGGAAGTACCCGAAATCACTGCGGGAAGAAGGGGAAAAGGGGATGAGACCCCCCCCCCCCCCGGGACAAGGAGGGGGATGCTGGTCTGAAATGGGGATGGGAGGTGGGAAGAGAGGGTGGGGTGATGGGAAGACACATGGGGATGTGGGAAGATGTGAAGGTGGGACAATGCTGGAGGTGAAAGGAGTTGAGGGAATGGGAAGATGCTGGAGAGGTGGGAGAATGGTGGGAGGTGGGAAGATGTTAGAGGTGGGAAGATGCAAGGATGGGATGATGCGGGGGTGAGATGAAGCAGGGATAGGATGACGCGAGGATGATGATGATGTCAGGGATGGGATGGTGCAAGGATGGGATGAAAAAAAAAAAAAAAAAAAAAATGGGATGATGGGGGATGGGATGATGCTGGGGATGGGGTGATGCTGGGGATGGGATGATGCTGGGGATGGGATGATGCTGGGGATGGGGTGATGCTGGGGATGGGATGATGCTGGGGATGGGATGATGCTGGGGATGGGGTGATGCTGGGGATGGGATGATGCTGGGGATGGGATGATGCTGGGGATGGGATGATGCTGGGGATGGGATGATGCTGGGGATGGGATGATGCTGGGGATGGGATGATGCTGGGGATGGGATGATGCTGGGGATGGGATGATGATGAGATACAGGGATGATGGGATGGATGATGTGGGGATGGATGTGGGATGATGAGATGATGGGGAAAAAAAAAAAAAAAAAAAAAACAAAAACAAAAACAAAAAACAAAAATGGGGATGGATGATGGGATGAGGGATGATGCAGGGGAAAGGGTGATGCAGGGATCGATGCTGAGGACAGAGCCCACCAGAGGAAGTCCTGCAGCGTGCAGGGGCACACGGACGGCTGCTTGGTGACCACGTAGTCGCGGCCGTTGCGGCACACCGAGGACTTGCGCAGCCGCCGGTACTGCTCCTTGTAGCCCAGGATGCAGCCGTCGCTGGGGTCACCGGGATCGCTGGAGTGCGCCAGCCAGATGGTGTAATCCTTGTCCTCACCTGCGGGCACCGCGCTCAGCACCAGGACAGCACCATGGGGCCCCATCCCCATCCCCATCCCCATCCCCATCCCCATCCCCATCCCCATCCCCATCCCCATCCCATCCCCATCCCCATCCCCATCCCCATATCCCCATCCCCATCCCCATCCCCATTCCCATCCCCATCCCCATCCCCATCCATCCCCATCCCATCCCCATCCCCATCCCCCCATCCCCATCCCATCCCCATCCCCATCCCCATCCCATCCCCATCCCCATCCCCATCCCATCCCCATCCCCATCCCAATCCCCATCCCCATCCCCATCCCCATCCCCCATCCCCATCCCAATCCCCATCCCCATCCCCATCCCATCCCCATCCCCATCCCCATCCCCATCCATCCCCATCCCCATCCCATCCCCATCAGCACTCACAGGCCCTGCTCAGCAGCTCGCTGAAGTCAATGGTGTAGGAGACCCACTTGCGGAAGAAGAAGCTGCCGCGGAAGCCCCACACGCTGACGGTCATGGAGCGGGCCCCGGGCTCCGACGCCAGCCCCGTGAAGAAGATGGGATCCTTGGAGAATGGGTACCGGTACCAGCACTGCCCCTCGTCCGTGGAGAACCTGCGGGCAGGGATGCGCTCAGCACCATAGGGGCACCTCCCAGAGCATCCCCAGTGCCCACTGAGCATCCCCAGTGCCCACTGAGCATCCCCAGTGCCACTGAGCATCCCCAGTGCCCACTGAGCATTCCCAGTGCCCATTGAGCATCCCCAGTGCCACTGAGCATCCCCAGTGCCCACGGAGCATCCCCAGTGCCCACTGAGCATCCCCAGTGCCATTGAGCATCCCCAGTGCCATTGAGCATCCCCAGTGCCATTGAGCATCCCCAGTGCCCACTGAGCATCCCCAGTGCCCACTGAGCATCCCCAGTGCCCACTGAGCATCCCCAGTGCCATTGAGCATCCCCAGTGCCCACTGAGCACCCCCCAGTGCCACTGAGCATCCCCAGTGCCCATTGAGCATCCCCAGTGCCATTGAGCATCCCCACTGCCCACTGAGCATCCCCAGTGCCATTGAGCATCCCCAGTGCCATTGAGCATCCCCACTGCCCACTGAGCATCCCCAGTGCCATTGAGCACTCCCCAGTGCCCACTGAGCACCCCCCAGTGCCATTGAGCATCCCCACTGCCCACTGAGCACCCCCCAGTGCCATTGAGCATCCCCAGTGCCATTGAGCATCCCCACTGCCCACTGAGCATCCCCAGTGCCATTGAGCATCCCCAGTGCCCATTGAGCATCCCCAGTGCCATTGAGCATCCCCAGTGCCCACTGAGCATCCCCAGTGCCATGACATCCCATGCCACTGAGCATCCCCAGTGCCATTGAGCATCCCCAGTGCCCATTGAGCATCCCCACTGCCCACTGAGCATCCCCAGTGCCATTGAGCATCCCCAGTGCCCACTGAGCATCCCCAGTGCCATTGAGCATCCCCAGTGCCCACTGAGCATCCCCAGTGCCATTGAGCATCCCCACTGACCACTGAGCATCCCCAGTGCCATTGAGCATCCCACTGAGCATCCCCATCCATTGAGCATCCCCAGTGCCCATTGAGCATCCCCACTGCCCACTGAGCATCCCCAGTGCCACTGAGCATCCCCAGTGCCCCTGAGCATCCCCAGTGCCATTGAGCATCCCCAGTGCCATTGAGCATCCCCAGTGCCCATTGAGCACCCCCCAGTGCCCACTGAGCATCCCCAGTGCCATTGAGCATCCCCAGTGCCCACTGAGCATCCCCAGTGCCCCTGAGCATCCCCAGTGCCATTGAGCATCCCCAGTGCCATTGAGCATTCCCCAGTGCCATTGAGCATCCCCAGTGCCACTGAGCATCCCCAGTGCCATTGAGCATCCCCAGTGCCCACTGAGCATCCCCAGTGCCATTGAGCATCCCCACCAACACCCCACCCACTGAGCATCCCCAGTGCCAACACCCATGCCCACTGACATCCCAGTGCCATTGAGCATCCCCAGTGCCATTGAGCATCCGCAGTGCCCCTGAGCATCCCCAGTGCCCACTGAGCATCCCCAGTGCCATTGAGCACTCCCCAGTGCCCATTGAGCATCCCCAGTGCCATTGAGCATCCCCAGTGCCCATTGAGCATCCCCAGTGCCCACTGAGCATCCCCAGTGCCATTGAGCATCCCCAGTGCCCACTGAGCATCCCCAGTGCCATTGAGCATCCCCAGTGCCATTGACCATCCCCATTGCCACTGAGCATCCCCAGTGCCATTGAGCATCCCCAGTGCCATTGAGCATCCCCAGTGCCCACTGAGCATCCCCAGTGCCATTGAGCATCCCCAGTGCCATTGAGCATCCCCAGTGCCCACTGAGCATCCCCAGTGCCATTGAGCAACCCCAGTGCCATTGAGCATCCCCAGTGCCCACTGAGCATCCCCAGTGCCATTGACCATCCCCAGTGCCCACTGAGCATCCCCAGTGCCCCTCATCCTCCAAGCCCATTACTCAATGGTGTTGATGGGTTGGCTGCTGTGCTCCACGGCCACGATGAGGCCCCCCGAGTCCAGGATGGAATAATGGTGCGGTCCCTCCAGCATCCGTGCCCACGTGTAGCCCCCATCATCGGAGATGTACACATCGGGGGTCATCACCGAGATAGCCCCCCCGACGCTGCCTGTTGGAGGGGGGGATGACACACACAGGGTCACCACATGGAGCTGGATGTGGCACTGGGCCCCATGGTCCCTGCCCCGGTGGGGTGGGTACCGTGCGCGATGACGATGCCGACGGCGTTGGGCTCCGAGAGCGGTGCCATGGGCACGTTGAGCTTCTGGGAGATGCTGTAGGAGGCGTGGATGTGGAGGCTGCACTGAAGGAGAGAGGGGAGCGTGGCCACCGGGACCGCAGGGCACACAGGGATGCCCAAAGGGGTGCTGGGAGAGAAGCCAGGGCTACCCCAGCCTGAGCAGAGCTTGCCAAGCAGCCCCATGGAGTGATGCATAGCTCTATGGAGTGACCCATAGCTCCATGGAGTGATGCATAGCTCCATGGAGTGATCCATAGCTCTATGGAGTGACCCATAGCCCCATGGAGTGATCCATAGCCCCATGGAGTGATCCATAGCCCCATGGAGTGACCCATAGCTCCATGGAGTGATCCATAGCCCCATGGAGTGATCCATAGCTCTATGGAGTGATCCACAGCCCCATGGAGTGATGCATAACTCCATGGAGTGATCCATAGCTCTATGGAGTGACCCATAGCTCCGTGGTGTGATCCATAGCCCCATGGAGTGATCCATAGCCCCATGGAGTGATCCAGAGCTCCATGGAGTGATCCATAGCTCCATGGAGTGATCTCCAGCCCCATAGTGTGACCCACATCCCATGGTGTAATCCACAGCCCCATGGTGTGATCCACAGCCCCATGGAGTGATCCACAGCCCCATGCAGTGATCCACAGCCCCATAGGGTAAACCACAGCCCCATGGAGTGATCCACATCCCATGGAGTGATCCACATCCCATGGCATGATTCGCATCCCATGGCGTGATTCGCATCCCCATAGGGTGAACCACAGGCCCATGGTGCAAACCACAGCCCCATAGGGTGAACCACAGCCCCATAGGGTGACCACAGGCCCATAGGGTGAACCACATCCCATGCAGTGATCCGCATCCCATGCAGCGACCCACATCCCATGCAGCGACCCACATCCCATGCAGCGACCCACATCCCATGCAGTGACCCACATCCCATGCAGCGACCCACATCCCATGCAGCAACCCACATCCCATGGCGTGACCCACAGCCCTACAGAGTGGACCCACAGCCCCACATTGTGCCCCACACCCTGTGCACATCCAGCCCCACACCCTCAGCACCTCTGCTGGGAGGCACAGGCTGGATCCCCCCCCACATCCCTGAGCATCCCTTTAACAGAGCCAAGGCAGGGACCACCGAGGGGCCCCACAGCAGCCCCCATAGGACCAGTTCCCATCCCCACCTCATCCTTGCTCCGTGCCATGGAGTCACACGAGGTGTTCTTGGGCTTGCGCAGGGGCACCCATTGCCCCCCCCGGTCAAAGGTGATCACGGATTGGATGGAGTTATCTGCAAGGCATTGAGATAGAGGGGGGGGAGAAGGGGGTCAGGAGCATCCCAGTGCTCCCACAGCATCCCCAGGCCTGGACCCACCCTCGGAGAGGACGCTGGTGATGAAGATGCCGCGCAGGGAGGTGATGTTGGTGAAGTCGGTCTCCCCCCCCGTCGTGGTGTAAAGGTGCCGCTCCAGGGACTTGGAGTAGACGATGCCGCGCTCATCCGAGGTGTAGATGGTGCCGAAGCCCGTGTCTAGGGCAGGGACACAGGGGTCAGGGTGATGGGGAGGCCATGGGGTGTTGTAGGAAGAGAAAAGACCCCTGAAGGCCATAAGGAAGGAGCTGCTCAATAGGGATGCTCCAATGGCAATGAGCCCCATGCATGGGGGGGAACAGGACCCGGTGGTGCTCACCTCCTGGCTCATCCACATGCATGAAGACCAGGTCCTCGTTGGCAGCAAGGATGGAGTAGAACTGCTCGTGCCCCACGGAGGGCAACTGGGCCATGTTCCAGCTCTCCCCTTGGTCCAGGGAGACGTGGATGCGCCTCGTGGTCCCCTGAGGGATCCCCAAAGCATCGTCAGACTTGCTCGTCCCCATGGGGATGAAGGCACCGGTACTGGGATGGGATGGGGATGGGGATGGGATGGGGATGGGATGGGATGGGATGGGATGGGATGGGATGGGATGGGATGGGATGGGATGGGGATGGGATGGGGATGGGATGGGATGGGATGGGGATGGGATGGGATGGGATGGGATGGGATGGGATGGGGATGGGATGGGGGGGGACAAGGACCTGCTCTGTCATAACGGAGGCGAAGAGGAAGCGCCCCCCCAGGCCGAAGGAGTAGATCCTGGTGCCGATGACCTTGAAGGAGGAGCCCAGGTCCGAGGTTTTCCTGAGCTCCAGGAAGCCCAGGTCAGCTTCTTGAGGAGAAGGGAGCGGGGATTAAAGAGCCTGGAGCTGCCTCCGGCTTCAGCGGCCACCGCCGGGGCTGGTCCCAACAGTATCCCAGCACATCCCCCCCAGTATCCCAACACATCCCCATTAGTATCCCAACACATCCCCCCAGTATCCCAACATAACCCCCCCCAGTATCCCAACACATCCCCTCCAGCATCCCAACACATCCCCCCCAGTATCCCAACACATCCCCATCAAGAATCCCAACACATCCCCCCCAGCATCCCAGCACATCCCCCCCAGTATCCCAACACATCCCCCCATTATCCCAACACATCCCCCCCAGTATCCCAGCACATCCCCCCAGTATCCCAACACATCCCCCCCCCCCAGTATCCCAACACATCCCCCCCAGTATCCCAACACAACTCCCCCAGTATCCCAACACAACCCCCTCCACTATCCCAACACATCCCCCCCATTATCCCAACACATCCCCCCCAGCATCCCAACACATCCCCCCCAGCATCCCAACACACCCCCCCAGCATCCCAACACATCCCCCCAGTATCCCAACACATCCCCATCAGTATCCCAACACATCCCCTCCAGTATCCCAACACATCCCCCCCCAGTATCCCAGCACATCCCCATCAGTATCCCAACACATCCCCTCCAGCATCCCAACACATCCCCCCCAGTATCCCAACACATCCCCATTAGTATCCCGACACATCCCCCCACTATCCCAACACATCCCTCCCAGTATCCCAGCACATCCCCATCAATATCCCAACACACCCCCTGCAGCGCTGGCTCCCTGCATGGGCAGTACTTACTGCAGGAGTTGTTCAGGAAGGTGGTGAAGAAGATGGTCCCATCCGCACCCCTGGGAAGGGAAGGAAGAGGGGATGTGGCACTGGGAGCAATGGGATACAGAGGGATGGGGCGGGGGGGTGACCCCCTCACTCACCACTTGGCCAAGCACACCGCTCTGTGGATCAGGACCCATTTGTGCCCGAAATCCCTGGAGACCCAGAGCCCGTTCTATGGGACAAGGATGGAAAAGGGAATTGGATGACCCCAATCCCCCCCAAACCCACATCCCCATCCCTGCGGCTCCAAGCCCATTCCCATCCGGGCATCCTCCGGCACAGCATCCCTAGGGAAGCGGGCCTCATCGCGCTCACGTCGGTGCTGAGCGCCAGCAGGCACTCGGGGTCCCGCGGGCTGTAGCTGAGCTGCACCAGCGGCTGGAAGGGCACATCCGTCTGGATGAAATTCCGGGCAAAATCCAGGGAGCGGAAGATGCGGCCCCCGCGGCTCCCAGCGGAGACGTCCCCCGTCAGGATCACCTGCATGGGGGGAGCCACGGCCATGGGATATGGGGGACCCCACCACCCCATCCCCACCCTTCCCATCCCCATCTTTCCCATCCCCATTCCCACCATCCCCATCCCCATCCCCACCATCCCCATCCCCATCCCCACCCTTCCCATCCCCATTCCCACCTTTCCCATCCTCACCTTTCCCATTCGCACCATCCCCATCCCCACCCTTCCCATCCCCATTCCCATCTTTCCTATCCCCATCCTCCCCTTTTCCATGCTCACCATTCCCATCCACACCCTTCCCATCCCCATCTTTCCCATCCCCATTCCCCACCATTCCCATCCCCAATCCCATCCCCACCCTTCCCATCTCCATCTTCACCTTTCCCATCCCCATCATTCCCATCCCCATTCCCCACCATTCCCATTCCCATCCCCATTCCCCACCATTCCCATCCCCATTCCCACCATTCCCATCCCCATTCCCATCCCCAATCCCACCATTCCCATCCCCATTCCCATCCCCATTCCCCACCATTCCCATCCCCATTCCCACCATTCCCATCCCCATTCCCATCCCCAATCCCACCATTCCCATCCCCATTCCCATCCCCATTCCCACTATTCCCATCCCCATTCCCATCCCCACCATTCCCATCCCCATTCCCAACCCCATTCCCACCATTCCCATCCCCATCCCCACCATTCCCATCCCCATTCCCATCCCCATTCCCATCCCCATTCCCCACCATTCCCATCCCCATTCCCATCCCCATTCCCCACCATTCCCATCCCCATCCCCACCTTCCCAGAGTTGCCGGGCCCGATGGCCACACCAAACTCGGTGCGGATGAAGGTGTTGTTGATGAGGCTGGAGATGTCCTGGAAGCTTTTCCCATAGTCCTCACTGGAAGGGGGGGAGCACACAGTGGGAAGCAGGAACAGGGATGCGGGAATGGGGCGGGGATGGGGGGGCTGCTCCCACCCCTCCATAGGGTCCCACTCACCTCCGGTACAGTTTGGATTGCCCGAAGCTCAGGATCACCTGGAATGTCATCGGGATGAGCAGGATGGGGATAGGGGGGGCAGAACAAGGGTGCATGGTGGGGGTCACCCCATCCAGGTCCCATTGTCCCCTATGGAAGTGGGGACCCCCCCATCCCAATGTGGGAGCCCGCAGTGCTCACCCCAGTGCTGTCACCAACCCAGGACAGGGACACGGAGCTGCTGAGGTCGTCGAAGATGAACTGGGAGGGATGAGAGTGGGAAAAGGGGTGGAAAATGGGGTGGGAAAGTGGGAGAAATGAAGAGAAAAAAGGGGGAAAATGGGGTGGAAAAGGGGGGAAAACGGGGTGGGAAAGTGGGAAAAGGGTGAGAAATGAAGGGAAAAGGGAAAACAGGGTGGGAAAGTGGGAAAAAATAAGGGGGGGGAAACGGAGAGAGAAAGTGGGAAAGGGAAAGAAAAAATGAAGGGAAAAAGGGGTGGAAAAAGGGGTGGAAAAGTGGGAAAAGGGGGAGAAATGAAGGGAAAAGACAGGGAAAATGGGGTGGAAAAGCGGGATAAGGGGTAAAATTAAGGGAAAGGGGGGAAAACAGAGGTGAAAAGTGGGAAAAGGGGGAGAAGTGAAGGGAAAGGGGGGAACGGGGTGGGAAAAAGTGGGAAAAGGGGGAAAAATTAAGGGAAAAGGGGAAAACGGAGGGGAAAAGAGGGAAAAGGGGGAGAAATGAAGGGAAAGGGGGGGGGAAATGGGGTGGGAAAGTGGGAAAAGGGGGGAGAATGAAGGGAAAAGGGGGGGAAGGAGGGGAGGAGAACTCAGTGTCAGTGTAACGCCAAACGGGGCCGGCAACGCCAACGGGTGGCAACCGGCCCCTGCCCGGGCACGGAGCCCGCCCTGATCCTGATCCCGATCCCGATCCCGGCCCGGGAGTGGCGCCAGCGCCGCGGTCACGTCCCCCCCGCGGTGTCCGTGAGTGCACCCTGTCCTGTCCTGTCCGTCCGGGTGTCTGTGTCCATCCCATGGGATACGAGAAGGGAAGGGTCAGAGGGGGGTGTCTGTGTTCATCCCATGGGATACGGGATGGGAAGGGTCGGGGGGGTGTCTGTGTGTTCATCCCATGGGATACGGGATGGGAAGGGGGGGTGTCTGTGTCCATCCCATGGGATACGGGATGGGAAGGGTCGGGGGGTGTCTGTGTGTTCATCCCATGGAACGAGAAGTGAGGGGTCTGTTCATCCATGGGATACGGGATGGGAAGGGTCGGGGGGGTGTCTGTGTGTTCATCCCATGGGATACGGGATGGGAAGGGGGGGTGTCTGTGTCCATCCATGGGATGATGGGGGGGGGTGTCTGTGTGTTCATCCCATGGGATACGGGATGGGAAGGGGGGGGTGTCTGTGTGTCCATCCCATGGGACTTGGGATGGGAAGAGCGGGGGGGGGTCTGTGTGTCCATCCCATGGGATTTGGAAGGGGGGGGTGTCTGTGTGTCCATCCCATGGGATCCGGGATGGGAAGGGAATCAGAGGGGGGTGTCTGTGTGTTCATCCCATGGGATACGGGATGGGAAGAGCGGGGGGGTCTGTGTGTTCATCCCATGGGATCCGGGATGGGAAGGGTGTGTGTGGGGGTGTGTCTGTGTGTCCATCCCACAGGTGGGGGGGGCTCCCTGCCCATTCCCAGCGCTGTCACGGGGGTATCCGTCCGCCTGTCCCCGGTGTCCCCGGTGTCCCCGGCCCCGAGCCGCGGCGCCTCCCGCTGTACCGGGCCGTGCCCGCCTCACCTGGTGCGTGTTGTTGCCGAGGGCCGCCGGGACCCCGCGCAGGCCGCCGCAGGCCTCGCCTCCCGCCGCCGTCAGCGCCCCGGTGCCGCCGCGGGGGGCCCGGTGCCGGCCCCGCAGCCGCAGCCCCAGCGCAGGCCCCGCCGCCATCGCCGCCGCCATGAGCACGGTCAAGGCCGCAGCCCCCGGCGGGCCCATGGCGACTCCCGCCGCCGTCACCGTCACCACCGCCGCCGCCCCGCTCTCCCGGTCCTGCCGCCGCTGCCCGCCCCTCGCTCCCCATTGGTTGTTCGCCGCCCTTAGCCCCGCCCCCTCGACGCGCCCCCGGGAGCTGGTTGGCTACAGTGGACGCCGCTCTCCCCAGGGACACGCCCCCCGCCCCGCCCCGCCCCTTCTCTTTGTCAATCACCGCCCTCCTCCTGCTCTGATTGGTTGACAAGGTGGCAGCGAGCCCGCCCTCTCCCTTTTGACCCCTGCGCTCTAATCTACCTAGCGACAGCTTTCTGATTGGCTGAGAGGCGAGGGGAGCGAGCGAAGCGATTTTCTGATTGGCTGCAGCGACAAGTCCGGCTGCCCCGGTTCGGGAGGCCGGTACCGGCAAGACCCGGGTGCTTCGGTACCCGGTGATGCACAGAGCGGGTCAGACCTCCCAGCCCGCTCCCCATTGCCCTCGTTGTTCGTGCGGGCGGGGAGCTGAGGCTCTTCCCTTGCCGGGAGGGCTCAGATAAGGAACACAAAGCCTCAATTTTCCCGTCCCGAAGAGCCGGTTCCATGGGATGCTGCCACCGGCGCACCCGTGACAGGGAAGAAAGAGCTTTTGTGTGGCTGCGGACACAAACAAAGCCGGAACAGCAGCGGGTTCACCCCTTCCCAAAGGAAAAGGGACCCCGATGGGGCCCTGGGGTGACCCAAGGGTTCAGCGCGGGTTTGGGATCAAGGGTGGATGCGGGGGATGAAGGAGGAGATGGCTGGTGCTGGGTGGTGGCAGATGGCCCGGACCTGCTGGATATTCCAGCCAGGCGAGCTTCCACACCTCGGATCCACGTCAGGAATTAGGAGCAGGGCCGTGGGCAGAGCCACGTCAGGACGCCAGGGAAGGGTAGAGCCCATCCACTGTGTATGGGTGACCTTTACTCTCCCACCTGGAAGTAAGGGCTGTGTGGTCAACCTGGAACCATGGCCTCGGGCATCGCCTGATGCTCCAGTTTGTGTCCTTCATTTGTTAATGCAAAGAGGGGAAACTCACAGCAGGAATGGGAGAACTGAGGTTATCCAAGGGCTGATCCAGCTGGGAAGACCGGGTTTCCCCTTCCCACATCCATCTGGCAACAGCAAGAGAGGGAGTCATGAAGAGGATGGGTGGTACCAAAGGGTAACAGGTAAGGGCTGGTGGGTGCAAGTGTTTGCTCCTGCTCCAGTGGAAGGTGGCCCATGGCAGGGGCTGGAACTGGATGAGCTTTAAGGTCCCTTCAACCCAACCCATTCCATAACTCAAATCCCAGTTTATTCCCTTATCCCTTCAGTTCTGAGAGGCTGTTCCAAGGATAATGCAGGGGAACAAGAATCCCAACCAAGCCGATGAGCAGAAGTTTCCCAATCCAAACACAACTGCCCTCAAACCTAAGCAGGACGTGCAGGAGGTGCCAGGGCAGGGGCTGCACCACTGACCCCAGCCTTGGTCTAGCAGTGGTACGGGTATTCCCAAGCAAATCCCAAGCCTGGTTATGGGTTTCTGCCCTGGGAAGGAGTCAGAGCTCCAGCTCAGGCTTTAGGGAGAAAACCCAAGGGAGAAGGACAATGGGGGATGCTCCAAAGGGGAAGTTTAGATTGGATCTAAGGAGGAAGTTCTTTCCTGTGAGGGTGCTGAGGCACTGGAATGGGTTGCCCAGGGAGGTTGTGAATGCTCCATCCCTGGCAGTGTTCAAGGCCAGAGCCTTGGGTGCCATGGTTTAGTGTGAGGTGTCCCTGCCCATGGCAGGGGGGTTGGAGCTGGATGATCTGAAGGTCCTTTCCAACCCTAAACCATTCTATGACTTTATGCACCAAAGAGCTCCAAACCGAGCTGCAGCCGAGCTGATGCGAAGCCACCACGAGAGGGAGACTCGGCCCTGCTTTTGGCACTGACGATGCCCTGATTTCAGCTCCCAACCCTCCACGAAGAGCCCAGGGTAGATAACAAAAGGCTTTATTCTCCTTCCCTCGCCTTGCAGACATCAGTTATGTACAGGAACGGTAAAAAACCCTCAAGAGCCTCCTCTGCAGAGCAACCCCAGCTGCTGCTGCTGGCAAAGAGATCCCAGGGAGCGGAACCCACTCAGGTCGCTTTGACTGGGGGGGGAATGAACCTTTGAGGGAGTCTTCTTCCTCTTCAGATATCCTTGATGACCTCTTCCAGCTCCTCCTTCGTGTACATGTGGAACTTCATGCCGGGCTCCACGGTGGCGAGCTGCGAGGGAAGGAGCAAGGGGTTAAAGCAGGGAGCAGAGCAGCAGCTGTCCCTGCTGCCAGAGCGGCATTCCAGCCTGGAACACGCTCCGGGATGCCCTCCAAAATAGCTGCTTGCTGCAGAAATAGCTTTGGATTGACTCAGTCTCCTCATAGGAGCAGCAGGGAAGGGGCTGCTTGAGGAGGGGATGCAGCTCCCCGTGGTCCTCAGTAGTGACCATGCAAGGGGGCACATCCTGCCCTTTGTGAGGGGTGTTGGGTGAGGAGGAGAAGCTCAGATCCCCTAGAATGGGAGCAGCAGGGTCCTACAAGAGCTTTCCTCACCCATTCCCTCAAAGGGAAGTAACTCATTTGAAGGCATCGCATGGAGCCTCCTGGCTTTTGCTTCCCATGGATTTAACTCTCCTGTGACCCCACTTTGCTTCCAATTGGAAGCACCAAGAGTAAATACTCCAGAGCCCCACGTACTTGTGCTTGCTACCAAGCAAAGCAGCTCCTTCCCAGCCCAAGGAGGGGCTTGAGTCAATGGAGACCTTTGACTCCCCAGCCTTCCTCTCATCCCCAACCCCGAGATGATTCCTCACCACGGGAAGGGCTTTGCCAAGCACAGTTAAGCCCTGTTAAACAGGGACATGACATAAGGATACTGTACACGCTCCCCTGCTCTGCAGAGCCCTGGGGCTGGGCAGGATGGAGCTGCTCCGTGTGGGCTGGGAGCAGATCCCACCATCAGGCACATCCATGCTCCCAGTGTCCATCCTCCCTTCCCACCCAAAGGAAACCGGTTCCTGCTGTCGGGAAGGGTCCCCACAGCAGCATGGGATGAGGTGCACACATTCAGGCTGGCTGGGGGACAGGGTCCCAGTGCTCAGAGGGATGGAATGGGAGCAGAGCAGCTCCGGAGCTGGAATGCCATGAGTTGGAAAGGGCCAGTGTCTCATAACCTGCCTGAAATAGAAGCAAACTCTATCCTCCAGCCTTGCTCATCATCCAGCCACCACCAGCACCAAACTGAAGGGGGTTTCACCTTCCCTGCCTATAAAGGAGTGTTAAGGGTGAAGAACAGGACTGCAGGGGCCAGGATCCACCGCACTGGTGGGGATCTGCTCGTGGGCAATGGGGACGAGGGGAAGCACGTTCCTGCCCGAGGCTTCACCTCAATGGGGCTCCTGCCCAGCAGATTGTTGGCCCTGGCTCAGGCCTCAATATAGCAAGTCCAGAAGCTGCAGAATTCCCATTGCTTCTAATGTTACACGGAGCAGGGGAAAGAGAATGGCCAAAGCTGGGGAGGAAACAAGAGATCCGAGCGGCACCGCAGGCCTCTAAGGTCAGAGGGCTCCAGGGTCTGCTGGGTTAAGGCACAACCAGCACCAGAGCTCCAACCCCGAGCTGCTCCTCAGCACGTTCATAAGGGCCCTGCAATGGTTTGGGTTGGAAGGGAGCTTAAAGCTCCTCCAGCTCCAACCCCTGCCATGGGCAGGGACCCCTTCCACTGGAGCAGCTTGCTCCAAGCCCCTGTGTCCAACCTGGCCTTGAGCACTGCCAGGGATGGGGCAGCCACAGCTTCTCTGGGCACCCTGTGCCAGCGCCTCAGCACCCTCACAGGGAAGAGCTTCTGCATAAGAGCTCAGCTCAGTCTCCCCTCGGGAAGGTTCAAGCCATTCCCCTTGTCCCATCCCTGCAGGCCCTGATGCAGTCCCTCTCCCATGCTCCCTGAGACATGTGTGTGGAAGTCAAGCCCATCCCAGTGCCTGCCGCACACCCCGGTCCCAGTCACCTCGATGTTGGTTGCATTCAGCTTCTCCTCCATCACTTGTTTCAGGATGACCAGGGAAGATTTGATGGCTTCTTTCAGTGTCATAGACTGCAAAACAAAGCCCTCGCTCAGCGATGGCATCAAGTGCTTGTCCCCTTCAGCAGTGACAAGGCGCTGCCGTCCCTCCTGCTCCTCCCAAAGGCTTTAAGCTGCTCCTGGCAGCAGGTTTCAAAGCTTAGCACATTATTGAGAGCATCCACAAGAGATCAAAGCTGCTGCTGGGGCAGGAGGGTGACAACCGCAGCACGGTGACAGCCCCAGCACGGTGACAGCCCCAGCACGGTGACAGCCCCAGCACGGTGACAGCCCCAGCACGGTGATTCTGCCTCTGGCAAGCTTCACAACTGGGCACCAACACCCTATGGTCAGGATTGGGACAGGAGGGGCTGGTTCTCCTCACCAGTTCCTGTCTATCCCCCCAGCCTTCAAGGAGTTCTGAAAAGCTGGATTCCCCTTGAGGGTTTATCCATGTAAATCCCTGTGCAAGGGGGAAGTAGAGGCTGGGGAACAGGCAAAGAGCGATGGTATCTGTGCTTGCAGAGGGTTAAGGGAGCCGAGAACTGGAGATGCTCTGCTATGAACAACTGCGGTTCCTGCATCCTGTGCTGGAGTCTTCAGAGCATCACCCTCCTCAAGTGTGCTTTTCAGCAGTGACCCCATGGAACAAGCAGCTCCCTCTTTGGGGAGGGAAGAAAAGCTCCGTTTAACACCAAATCAGAGCTGTTGTGGCACCCTGAGGGCTCAGATGCAGTGGGGTTAAGAGACGCGCTGAGAGAAAGCTCCTCACGCTTGAGGCTGCATCCATCCATCCCTCCCAGGGCCCAGCTCTGTGTGTACAGCACCAAGTCCTCCCTGATGTGGTTTGAACTTACCCATTGGAGGAGACCAAGCTCTCCCCTTGCAGCAGCAGCAGCAGGGGGAGCTCCTGGGTGCACTG